CTCCTCCTCCTCCTCCTCCTCCTCCTCCTCCTCCTCCTCCTCCTTCTCCTTCTCCTTCTCCTTCTTCTCCTCCTCCTCCTTCTTCTTTTTGTGTGCTGCCTGTATTCCACGGATGGGGCTTTGCTTGTTTGTGCGGACTGGTTGCTGGCATGCTGCGGCCCGGTACCAGTCCATGGACCAGGGGTTGGGGACCCCTGCTGTAAAGGATTCTACCTATGCTACCAGTTCTGGCCAATCCTGCTCCATGGAGGTGTAGAATTAGAAGTAGCCTAATTCCAGATCCTGAAGTTGAAACTCAAGTACTTTGGCCACCTAATGAGAAGGAAGGACTCACTGGAGAAGAGCCTAATGCTGGGAAAAATGGAGGGCAAGAGAAGAAGGGGACGACAGAGAAGGAGGTGGCTGGATGGAGTCACTGAAGCAGGAGGCATGAGCTTAAATGGACTCCAGAAGATGGTAGAGGACAGGAAGGCCTGGAGGAACGTTGTCCATGGGGTTGCGATGGGTCGGACACGACTTAACAACAAAAATTCCACTTGTTCTGGATGAAAGTTGAAGGTTGAAGAGCAATTCAGCCCTGCTCACTCTGATGTAACCTGAGGACAGATTGCACTGTTTGTCTTTGATATATACGTGTCCAGCATTCGGCATCCCAAGGATAAGAAGAAGTTGAGATATTTGAATGAGCATTCTTCTGGCTAGACAACAAAGATGAGAAATACCTCGGTCTCTCCCTAAGAGTTGGGGGAAGAAAAAAAAAGATATATCTTGGCCAGCACTGCTTCTGGATCTTCGCCAGTTTGCCAACTGGCAGCTTTGAAGAATTTGAACTGGGTGGTTCCTGTCGCTAAAAATACTCCTGCAACAGAGGTCTTGTGTCTGAAAATAGCTGGGCCTTTTACTTGCTGGTCTGTGGTTTGGGTAATATGTAGGCTGCGCTCTTCATGGTCTTCTGCTGCTGGACAGGCTTTGGGATGTCTCAGAAGGCTGATCTATGTCCGTAATAAAGACCTGATCCGATTTGACACAGAAGACTGAACAGCTCACCTACCTTTTTCTTAAAACTTTTTACCACCAGCTAATAGAAACGATGCTTCTTTTCCCATTTTCTCCTCTAACTTTTTTTTTGTTTTTTTGAGTGTGTGTATAGGGGGGGAGAGATTGCAGTCTTTGTTTGTCTTCTTCCAAGCAGAACTTCACTTGTCCCTTGGGGATCTAGCCGCCTTCCTCTTTTTTTCTATCCCAAAGGTGCTTTTTTCCAAAAGGCAACCGAACTTTCTTGGAGGTTTTTTTTTTCTTTGAAAATGTTTCGCTTCTCATCCAAGAAGCTTCTTCAGTTCAGTCAGAACCGAAGGAGTTTCTTGGATGAGAAGCTAAATTTTTTCAAGGAAAAAAAAAACCCCCAAGGAAATCCAGTTGCCTTTTGGAAAAAGCACCTTTGGGACAACCATGACCTCAATGAGAATCTCCATAGACGTATTTTTTTATCTTTTTCTTGTTTTGGTAGAAAGACAAAAGTAGTTGTCTCCTCTTGGGTCATTCCATGAGTTTTCCCTGGTTTATTTTTTCTTAAATTCATATCTTCTAGTCCAGGGGTAGGCAACCATGCTGGCTCAGGAATTCTGGGAGTTGAAGTCCACCAGTCATAAAAGAGCCAAGGTTGCCTACCCCTGAGTTAGTCCATTTGCCAAACTTGGGTAGCTCATTGAACAAAACTTTCCCTTCTAGCATCCCATCATTCTGAATGTTATTTGCAAAGAGTTTATGAAAAAAAAATCCGCTGTTGCCTGACTTTCTTGGCTGCTTCTGGATTTAATCGAAAGCAGAATAGCCTGACTCCCACACAATGTATGGCTTTAACTTCCTCCACAAGCATATTTCCCATTCTGCATAACTTTGTTTCAATTGGAGGGGGGGAGAAATGCATACAAGGAATCCTTGATTTACAACCATTCATTTAGTGACTGTTTTAGTCACAATAGCACCAAAAAAAGAGTGACTTATGACTGTTCTTCGCACTTACGGCCGTCGCAGCATTCCCGGGTCCCGTGATCAAAATTACAACAGCCCTGACTTAAGACCGTTTTTCTCACTACGACCGTTGCAGCATCCCCATCGTCACGTGATCAAAATTCGGACGCTTGGCAACTGACTCGTACTTATGACGGTCGCAGTGTGCCCGGGGTCACGGGATCCCCTTTTGCGACCTTCTGACAAGCAAAGTCAACGGGGAATTGACTTAACCACCATTTTACTAACCAAACAACTGCAGTGATTTACTTAACAACGGTGGCAAGAAAAGTCGTAAAATGGGGCAACAGAAATGTTGGGCTCAATTGTCATAAGTCGTGGAGTACCTGCATTCATTTAAAATCTGTTTCTATCTGTGTCCTGTAGCCCTGCTCCTAAGTTAGAATTAAATTTTAAGTTAATTCTAAGAAGAATAGAAAAAGTAGAAACGGGAGGCTGCCTTAACTAGGATTGATGAGTTGTGGCACCGTGTCCTACACCCCACTCAGTTTACATTTGTTTAAAAACTTTCCACCTATGGGAATAATAGATCTTCCTTCTTTTCTCTTTCTTTTTCTTGGTTTCTTTTTCTTTCTTTCTATTATTTTTTTTCTATTTCTCCTGTGCTTTTTTTAATTATTAGATATGATAGTTAATTTGTGGAGCGATAATGATAAAAAGATTGTAATGATGGAAGAGATGACATTAATAAATGAAGAATTACTGAACAAGAAATAGAATATAGTTGAGAAATGTAAGAATGTAATTATGGAAATAATAGGCTTGAATAAGAGAAATTATGGACACCCGAATTGTAAATAATATTTTTGTTTGAGGCTAAGTTAGATATGGTATTTGGAAATTAATAAACCTAAAAACAGGGTTTGATTTACATCGATGAAAGGTTGCTGATAACTTCTATTGATTAATTGAATTCTTATTTTACTTAGAAATGTATTAGTTTGACTATACTATTCTAATGGTTAGAGAGGGAAATTTTAAGGAGCATTATTTGAGCTATATATGTATGATGTTAAAACTTTCCACATAAACCTTTTTTTCTTTCTCCTGCTTTTTTCTTATTATGCAAATCTTTCCAGTGGTTTCCCACCTGGTTCCTTTCAATTATCCTAATGACCTGTCATTTCCCCCTTCCTCTCCCTTCCCCAGTCCTCCTCCAGCATCTGCAGAATAGCCCCAGATCTGTTCCTATCTTCTAATTATCATAACACAAAGGATGCTGTTTTTATTGTTTCCTTGTCGTGAAATATGCATCTGGTTGAAAATGGTCCCTCGTTATTGTTTTTTCCTGGGAGATTTCATTTTAGCACTTTTGGGTCCTGAAGTTTTCACCACACCACAGCCAAAGCAAACCATCCTATTTTTTTTTTATTTTTTTTTATTGAAAATTTTTAAAATTTTTACAATATAACTCCCCACCTCCCTCATACTCCACCCTTCCCCACCCCCCTCCCTTCCCCCCGACTTCCCAGAGCTACACATAGGGTTTACAATACAATAATTATATTCTGTCTTAAATTATATTATCCTTAAGTTAACAATTCTATAACATCCTTTAGCTCTCTTCTAAACTGATATATTAAACATCATTATTACAAATTATTTAATTTTAATAAAATATACTACATTAACAATCACAAATTTACTCAAAAACCAAATGAAACTTTTTAGTTCCATATTTCTTTTCTATATAATCTATCCATCTTCTCCAAACCAGTATATATCTTTCTTGTGAGTAATCCTTCACATAGGCTGAAATCTTAGCCATTTCTGCTAAATTTGAAACTTTAAATGCCCAATCCTCTATAGTAGGCAAACGATCCATTTTCCAACATTGAGCTATTAATAACCTCGCATCCTATTTCAAATAAGATGTGGTGGCTGAAATTTTTATGGCAAAACTCGCAGAAAACTTTTTTCCCCCCTTCATATTGTTTTTCCAGTGTTTCCTATTTAGGGATATGTGGCTTTTCCCTCTGCCTGTCTTTTTCCTCATTGTGGCTAATGGGGCTTCAAATTAAGAGAATGGCTTGCTTATTTGATAGGGGCAGCGATCATAAAATCAATTGGCATGGCCGTGAGTACAGCATCTTCTAGTTGTTACTGCAAAGAAAGTCGGAAAAGAATCTTTTGTTAGATGTGCTACACCACATTTGCACTTCGGAAGAATCCCAATAGCTTCGTAGAGAATCTATCCATGAATAAAAAGTCTTACCAGTTTGTGTGAACCTTGTAGGAGGAGGGCCATATTAGACTATTATATCCCAAAATCAGGAGGAGTCTGGGTAAGTGCCACATTTTATTAAAATGCACGCAAACATTTCGGCTTTTTAATAAAATTTGGTAGCTTGAAAAGGTGCTACCAGATTCCTGATTTATGCAGGTCAGGTCAAGAAATTCAGAACTTCCACAGTAATAATAATAACATAGGTCAATCACAACTTGTGTCTCAGCCACAGCAAATGCTCCTGTGGTGCTAGGTGACACATTCCATGGATGCTGCAACACCTGTAATATATATAAATGCTCTTTTTAAAACTTGGAATTGGATTTTGAATTGAATTTGGATTCCAATATTTGGGGGGCTGTCACAAGGAAGACAGGTCAGCCTATTCTCCAAAGCACCTGAAGGCAGGACAAGAAGCAATGGGTGTAGACTAATCAAGGAGAGTGCCAATCTAGAACTAAGGAGAAATTCCCTGACAGTGAGAACAATTAACCAGTGGAACAGCTTGCCTCCAGAAATTGTGGGTGCTCCATCACTGGAGGTTTTTAAGAAGAGACTGGACAGCCATTTAGAGATTGGACAGGCTCCAACTTCGCTATTCTGGATTTTCCTTTAAGGTGTTTCTCATAAAGTGTGAAATGTAATGTCTTTTTTTTGTGTGTTTATTGTGTTTGCAGAGCTCGGAGACCTTAAAGATCTGCAGACGCTGGATGTCTCAACCAATCATTTGATAACCTTGCCTGAAAAACTGCACAGGTGCCCCTCTCTTCAGTACCTCACTGCTGACCAGAACCATCTCTGGTACGTCCCTCGCCATCTTTGCCAGCTTCCCAGTCTGAATGAGTTGTCCATGGCAGGAAATCAGCTTGCTTTCTTGCCTCTTGGTGAGTGCTGTTTTGGCTATCTGAGAATTAAACTCTAAAATATATGGGCAGGGGTCTAGCTACGAAAGGAGCCAGTGAGATAAATTTTATATTAGAAATCAAAAAAAGGATCTGATATCTAACTAGTCAAAGTCTTCCAATTTTACGTATTTTGGGTTCATGCATTATGCTAACCAATGTTTGCTACAACAACAACAACAACAACAACAACAACAACAATAATAATAATAATAATAATAATAATAATAATAATAATAATAATAATAATAATAATAATAATGTTGAAAGGGACCTGGGGGATCTTCTAGTCCAACCCACTAGTCAAGTAGGAGACCTTATACCATTTCAGACAAATGGCTGTCCAGTCTCTTCTTAAAAACTTCCAGTGTTGGAGCATTCACAGCTTTTGGAGGCAGATTGTTCCACTGATTAATTGTTCTAACTGTCAGGAAATTTCTCCTTAGTTCTAGGTGGCTTCTCTCTTTGGTTAGTTTCCATCTGTTGCTCCTTGTCCTGCCTTCTGGTGCTTTGGAGAACAGCTTGACTCCCTCTTCTTTGGGGCAACCCCTGAGATACTGGAAGACTACTATCATGTCCCCCCTCATCCTTCTCTTCATTAGACTAGACATACACAGTTCCAGCAACAGTTCTTCATATGTTTTAGCCTCCAGTCTCCTAATCATCTTTGTTGCTCTTCTCTGCATTCTTTCTAGAGTCTCAACATCTTTTTGACATCATGGTGACCAAAACTGGATGCAATATTCCAAGTGTGGCCTTACCAAGGCCTTGTAAAGTGGTATTAATACTTCACGTGATCTTGATTCTATCCCTCTGTTAATGCAGCCTAGCACTGTGTTGGCTTTCTTGGCAGCCGCAGCACACTGATGAAACCAACAATCAGATGGGCTAATGTAGAGAGTTGCAATCCACGCACTATAAATCAGGATGGCTGAATTCCCAGTTCAGGCTAAGCCAAACAGAAAAAAAACAACCCCTGCACTATGATTTATTAGCTGATTTTTAATGAACCGTTAGCTTAACCCAGGTTCACAGTTTGTCAACTTCGCTGAGAATTCCACTTTTTAGATGTGGATTTCAACCTTCCAGCGTGCCTCCTACAACCTTCCACCAGTGATGGGCAGCATCAGTTTTTAGCTTCTCACCTTGTGCAAATAAACCCAACCAATATTGTTGATAAGTTGGAGGGGATAGCAGGTTGCAAGAATCCAACTGGTACTTTATTCAAGACAGCATGGTTTAACAAACCAGGGTTTAGCATGTTGCATGAATCCAGTCTAAATTTGATAATTAACAATTGATCAGTGGAACAGCTTGCCTCCAGAAGTTGTGGGTGCTTCTTCACTGGAAGGTTGGCCTAGAACAGGGGTCCCCAACCCCCGGTCCACGGACCGACACCGGTCCATGGCATGCCAGCAACTGGTCCGCGCAAACAAGCAAAGCCCCATCCACAGGATGCAGGCAGTACATGAAACCAGGCCCCCTCCGGTCCGTGGAAAATCTCTCTTCACAGAACCGGTCCCTGGTTCCCCAAAGGTTGGAGACCTCTGGACTAGAAAACCTCCATTTTCCTCCTAACCCTGTTATTCTGTTAAATAAAGTTGAGTTTGGGTGGTCTGTTTCCCAGAAGTTAAAGGTGGTATGGAAGAGGAAAACTTGTGTGAAGGAAGTGTTTCTCTTTTTACCTCTTAACACATATATATATACACACACACATACTCCAGACAGCTCAAGAAATTCTGCGGAAATTCAGTGAATAACAGAATTTGGCAGCATAATTTCCATCCATCCCGAAGGTAACTTTAGGATGGGAATCCGAGTGTTTTTCCTACAGTAGGCCTCTCTCACTTTCACCCTCATTTTGGAGGAAAAGCAAAGCAAAACAAAAACTAAAACTCACAGCACGAAGAATCTGGCCAGTTTGCTGCCAAATTTTAGCAGCGTGTTCTTGGAAAGCGATGCGACCGCAAATGTGCTAAGGACCACCTGCAGCTTTTGAGTCGCCCACCCTACTTTGGGATATTGCTCTGCCAGCCCATATGTTTGAGGATGAGTGTATTAATTCTGCTCCTTTTTGTAAAAAATAAAAATCACACACACATCAAATTAATAATACCGCTTACTTTATTATCTCAAAATACATAGCTTTTCTGCTTTCACGCCGGGGTTAAAAAAAATATCAGGGCAGATATATAAGACCTTTTGTTCCATGTTCAGCCATGTGGAATGCAGATGCCTTGAGGACAATTTTTTTTAAAAAAAAAGTATAGTTGAATTGGGGTTTGTTTAGGACTGGTGCAGTTTGTTCAAGGGAAAAGTCTTTGATCTTCCATGCTGGGAGGAGGAGAAAAATGGAAAAGTTGCAGATAAACTGTACTGTATTTTTTAAAAAAGCTACATGCAAACTTCTCTTTGTGACTTCAGATGCGACCTTCCTTTTCTACGAAGTCTGAAAAGAACATGTTTAGGAAAAATATTTTTTGTGTGTGTGCTTTTTGCATGATCATACAATCATAGGCCTGGAAGGGACCTCGGAGGTCTTCTAGTCCAACCCCCTGTTCAAGGCAGTATACCACCCCAGATAAATGGTTGTCCAGTTTCTTCTTGAAAACCTGTAGTGACAGGGCAGCCCCAAACTCCAGGAGGCAAGCTATGCCATTGATTAACTATTCTCGCTATCAGAAAATTTCTCCTTACATCTACGTAGGGTCTCTCTTATATAAGCTTCCACCCATTACTTCTTGTCCTGCCCTCAGGTGCTTTGGAGAATAAGTCAATCCCCTCTTCTCTGTGACAGCCCCTCAATATTGGAAGACAGTTATCATGTCCCCCCTAATTCTTCTATTTGATGGGCTACACATATCTAAGTCCCTCAGCCATGCATCATAACAATTTAGCTTCCAGATCCTTTATCGTCTTTGTTGCAGAAGTTTAAAACTTTAATAAGAGCCACAAGAACGCTGCTAAGATTTAAGATTTCTTAACATTTAGATATAATCTTTTTGTGGTTTGGCTTGGCTTCTCTTGGCTCAGCTTTTAGATGAGAAAGGAACAAGCAAAGATATAACAAATGTGCCGATAGTACAGATATACAGTATGTGTACCCTGGTTCTCAGCTGCTGAAAGACTTGCATCGATACAGATTTCTCACAGTGCACTAAAAGTGGAGAAGAGGGGGAAAAAACAGCTATTTGTTGCTTATTTTTAATGGGTCCTGGCTGCATTTTCACAGCTTAGGGAATGTTTTTAAAAAATCTTGTAGAACCTGAAAGTTTTAATAGCAAAATTAAATTTATACTAACTATAAAAGTACTAGCTACAGCCTCAATTAGGGAGGTTCATCACCACTTTGCAAATTAAGTTATGATGCACTTCCAAGGCTTTTTATTTCCAATCTGATTCAGTTAACAACCGTGTTATTAACTTAACAGCTGCAGTGATTCACTTAACAACTGTGGCAAGAAAGTTTATAAAATGGGGGCAAAACGACTGTCTCGCTTAACAACGGAAATTTTGGATTCAATTGTGGTCGTAAGTCAGGAGTATCTGTACTTTTTGGCTGGTCTCCGGGAAGCAAACTGCTAAGCAAACTGAAGCCAAGAAAAAAATGTTGTAAATCAAATTGTTTCATTTCATTCACAGGTTCATGCATGCACCGACACAAAAGAGAACTACGGAGCAGTGTTCCCTTATTCTTAGTCACGTCGATGTTTTTCTTGGAATGAGACAGTCCTACTTAGATTTGGCAGCTTTCTTGAAGAAGAAAAAACAACAACCACATAACAAAATTGGAACTCTGCATTGTTCTTTTCCCAGCCGTTTAACGAGACTTCTGTTATTTCTGGTGAAAGAACGCATTTGCATATATTCCCAGACAGAAACGTGGAAATTAGGGGATAATTTTCATGGCAGAATCTGTCTTGTTATTATAGGGTTTCCACTGATTTCATAAAAAAGGTTTTTCTAGACTGCTCAGATGCTAAGTGCGTTCGCTGACATGCCAGGAAGGTGTTTGTGTGTACGTATGTGTTTGCTTGAACATGCCTGTCAGGAAGGTGATTACTTATTTTCTGTTTCATGTTTCTTAAATGCAGATTTAGGTCGTTCCCGGGAACTGCAATATGTTTACGTGGATAACAACGCTCACCTTCGAGGTCTCCCTTCTTACCTTTACAACAAAGTCATTGGCTGTAATGGGTAGGTCCTCAGATTTAAGTTAAGCCCACAAATATAAATTGCCGTGGATCCTTTTATTTTCTAAGTCTTATTCATCAGTTTTATCTTGGATTATTTAATCTGTCGAATGACGGTCCTATGCTTTAAAGGAATTTACCTATAATGTCTGCTCCATTCAGTTGTATTAAATCGCCTGCATTAATTTTCTCACTTTTAAATGCTTATAGAGCTTAGCCTTCTTTGCTGCTTTTTGATCTTCTAAGATAGTTCAGGGGGAAAAACTGAACTTGAGACTGAGTAGGAATGGAACAGAAGTCTTGACACAAACCTGCATTTTTCATATACATCGTTATGGTAACATTGTTCATAACATCCTCTAAGAGTGCTTTGCAACATAGGGTTCTATACGTTTAGTAAGGCCATGTATCATATAGGGTGATATAGATAAGCCTCTAAATTGGCACATTCCAGATCCAACTGAAGAGAATCTTCATAACTCAAGAGTTGAACTATGGAGTCCTTGCTGCTCCCCGAGCTTGGTTATCTGCTTGCAGACATTTCATTACCCAACTAAGTAACATCATCAGTGCTAGAAGAGCGTGGGGTTTGGTCTCTGTTTATACAGGATACAAGTGGTTTGACCTTTCAGACTCTATGGGGATTCTCAATCATCCAGATCATGGTTGTCCCCAAAAGTGTTTTTTTCCAAAAGGCAACTGGACTTTCTTGTTTTGTTTTTCTTGGAAAATGTTTTGCTTCTCATCCAAGAAGCTTCTTCATCGACTCTAACTGCCTGGTGGGGAAGGATTTATACTCTTAGCAGTCATCTCGTCATTAGTGCTTTGAAAGTCATTGAGGCCACTTGGGGATCGAGCTGTATCCTCAGAGTCAGCTGAATTAGAATGCAAACATGTATGGACCCTTTTTGGGACTGCTGAAAAGACTGCGTTGTAAACAGGAGATAAGTGATGTTGTATCCCTCTCCACTGTTGAGGGAGGGCCCCTCAGTCTTATCCTAGATGGCCTCTTTGACTCCTCTTTTGAAAACAGCAAAATTCTGGACAGAGAGGACCGCTGGATTGTTGCTCATTTGCATTTGAGCATTTAAGATGATTCTAATGGCAAGCAACCAAGCCCAGCCCCAAGACCTTGACACCTTCAGATCTTTTAGAATACACTTCCCAACATTCCCTGTAGCATTCCGCAACGGGGAACGCAGTTTAGCACATCTGGAGGGTGATTAAAGTATTCCTGTTTTCTTTCTGCCTCCGAAAAGTGGTATTAGATACCACTTGCTTGCTTTCCCTGTTAAGATGGCCATTCTGTAGCAAAACGCATTCCCTTAGCAAACAGAATAACATGCCTCTGTTTAATTGGGATTGATTCATAATTTGAAAAGCATCCTTCTGTGTGCTTTAGGCGCTGTTGGCAAAACTTGAAAGTGTGCACATTAGATGAAATGGCAACTGCTGGCATAATCCCCTTAGGTCTGAATTGCCTTCTGCCAGGTGATTCTGTAAATAGATCAGTGAGTCCTGCTCACTCTTCTTACATTGGACAAAGGGAGATTGTTACCTCCAGGAGTTGAATATTCATAAATAGCAGCCACACAAGTCAAATCCTTAGCCCTGTTGGGACAAACACGTTGGGAGTGGATGTGTAAAAGACAAATATGGGTCCTAGCCTCTGCCAGCTGAAAGATTCCATGTTCTTGGAACTGTTGAATGGAAAAGGATTACATCCCAGTGAAAACAGCAGCATTTAAACAAGCGGCAACACTTTTGTTTTGGTGGTTCATGAAAATAAAACGCGTGCCCTTATTTCTCAACTGAAAGCAGACCTTGAAGATTGAGAAACATAAGCTAGACAAGTTCTGCCTTACTTGTTACCAACTGCAGTATCCTAAGGGCTTAAGAAAAAATATACCGTGTCAAATTCGGTGTCTCTTTTAAGTCTTTTTGGGAAAGCAATTGAATTGCATCAGGGTCTCCTCCTTGAGCGAATGCCACCCACTGAGACCACGAGAATAAGACCCCTGTGGAACAGCTTATAACAAGCTATCCGCTCTTCTCCCATCTTGCTGGATTTCCAGAGACACAGGTTGCCTCTCAAGGGCTTTGAGAGATGTGGCAGCCTGCAGGTATGGCACTGGCATTAGATGCTGATCAAAGTGATGCAATCTATTTTAGCCAGCTGGGGCACATGGAAACCTGCAGCTTAGAATGTCAAGTATGTAAGTAAGTAAATGTATGCGTTTAATTATCTGAAATTTTACTTGCTAGATCCAGTGCAAAGCCAAATTACAGGACCAGCTCTTTTGCTCTTCATGTCTGTCATTTAAATTCTTAAATGTAACCAGATTCTGAAAAATCTACTTTGGGGGGGGGGGAGAGTTGCCTGGTGCTCTCTGAGCTTGGTTGTTTTCTTGCAGATGTTTCATGACCCAAACTAGGTAACATCATCAGTAGTAACACTGACGATGTTACCTAGTTTGGGTACTGAAACATCTGCAAGAAAACAACCAAGCTCAGAGAACACCAAGGAGCTATAAATATTCTCCTTACTGGTTATTTTCTGTTGGGATATTATCCCTTTGTGTTGATTAAAACACTTTGGAATCAACGCCCTTGTGTGCAGTTGCCATATTTACTTCTGTCAGGCCTTAGAGCAAGCTTCTGCTTGTCTTTTGGATGCGTAATTGCTTGGCATCTGCAGGCCTGATTAAAATTGATGAAGTCAAGTTGGGGATGTCACACTTAGCAAGCTTCTTGTCAGCAAGTTAATTTTCATTCTTGAAGCACGATGTTGGGCACCTCCTGTAAATAGGTGACATTTGCAGATTGTTGCCAGGTTTGCATATTGAACTGATCCATATTTGGGAACTGATTTGATTTTGATTTAGAATATTTTCTGTTCATACTGATCACGTCAAACACTAGATTATAGTTTGGATGAGCCCCCCCCTCTCTGTCTCTCTTTTTAAAAAGGCCGGCAAGTTATTCGCAAGAAATGTATTTAATGCAGATTTGCCTTTTTCTTCTAACCCTAGTTCTCATTGAAATGATCTGTGATGATGTCTAGTTTTACGAATGAAGGCAAATACACGTATCCAACGATAACGATGCAAAATCAAACTTGGGTCGATTCCAGAACCAGAGATTTACTCTCCCAGCTTTGGGACTCGTGCTGGAGCCAGTCTTCGGGGAATTTCTCTACTGGAAGCCTGGGAAACAGACCCCTTGTCAGTCAGAGTGCTGGATTACCACCAGCCTTTTAAATACTTAGGAGCCGAGGGCTTGGCAGCCCAAGGAAACAACAGCCAGTCGCCAGCCATCCACACACCAATCAGCTGATAGGAAGACACCGCATAAACACGACTCACAGAACAGCCCAAAGCATGTATTCCAGTAGAGAGAAATTCCCTGAAGAATGGCTCCAGCATGACTCCAAGAGCTCGGAAATCTCTGGTCCCGGGAACCGACCCAAATTCGATTTTGTACGCCTAGTTTTGATTGCAAGGGCATGTCTTGAGTGTTCTTTTAGGTCAATGGTGCCCTCGTCAGCTACTCTTCCGCAGAATAATAATAATAATAATAATAATAATAATAATAATAATAATAATAATAATAATAATAATAATAATAATAAATTGGAAGGGACCTTGGAGGTCATCTAGTCCAACCCCCTGCTCAGGCAGGAAACCCTATACCATTTCAGACAAATGGCTGTCCAGTCTCTTCTTAAAAACTTCCAGTGTTGGAGCATTCACCACTTCTGGAGGCAGGTTGTTCCACTGGTTAATTGTTCTAACTGTCAGGAAGTTTCTCCTTAGTTCCAGGTTGCTTCTCTCCTTGGTTAGTTTCCACCCGTTGCTTCTCGTCCTGCCTTCAGGCGCTTTGGAGAACAGCTTGACTCCCTCTTCTTTGGGGCAGCCCCTGAGATATTGGAGCACTGCTATCATGTCCCCCCTCGTCCTTCTCTTCATTAAACTAAACAGACCCAATTCCAGCAAGTGTTCCTTATATGCTTTAGTCTCCAGTCCCCTAATCATCTTTGTTGCTCTTCTCTGCACTCTTTCTAGAGTCTCAGCATCTTTTTTACATCGTGGTGACCAAAACTGGATGCCGTATTCCAAGGGTGGCCTCACCAAGGCATTGTAAAGTGGTATTAACACTTCACGTGATCTTGATTCTATATATCACAGGTCACAGATCACACCACGTTTACGTCGCTCACCATTTTTTCCCCTTTCTTCCAACCTCTCTCCAGCTGTGGTTCTCCTCTTCAGAAATCAGAGCTGCAGCTTCTGTCCTTTTCATCGGGACAGTTGACGGTTTTCCTCCCGGCGGAGGTGAAGCTGATAGGCACGGAACTGGACCACGTGCTCCCCTTGCAGGAGGCGGCCATGAGGACCTTATATAACACATACTGCAAGTCTCTAAAAGGTAGATGGATGATGGTTGAGTGTCTCCAATATCTTCGGTCTGTAAAGCTGGGAGGGAGGAGAAAGCTCTGGTCGTCCAGATGTTGCCAAATAAAAATGTCCGCCATCTTTTGCCATTTTTTTTCCTGTGGTGTTTACAGGTCATCCCTGACTTAACACCACAGTTGAGGCCAGAATTTCCACTGCCCAGCAAAATGGTCGTTGAATAGTCGAGCCCGATTTTGTGACCTTTTTGGCCCGGGTTGTTAAGCAAATCGCTGTAGTTGTTAAGCAAATTGTGTGGTCGCTAAGGGAATCCCATTGACTTTGCTTGTCAAAAGCTGACCAAGACAGTCGCGAATGGTGATCGCGTGACTCCGGGACACCGCAACCATTGTAAATACACGCTGGTTGTCAAATACCCAAATTTTGATCGTGAGATCATGGGGATGCTGCAGTGGTCGTAAATGTGGGGACCAGCCATCAGTTGCTTTTTTCAGAGTCGTCAAATGGTTGTAAGTCAAGGACTGTCTATATACTGAGTGTCAACAATTCATTTTCTGCATCCTTCTCAGAATCTGGGATAGAGGTGTGTGTGCATTTGTCACCTGAAAACCTAAGGGAACAACCCTCCAAAGACCCTCCAAAACATGAATATGATGGGAGGGAAAACTATTAAGTGCACGAGTGGAGAGTAATCTTATTAATGGTGTTTAATTTTAATTATATCTGAATTCAAATGAAACCAAGCAGGCAGGCTTCCAAACAGGTCACCCAGCTACTGCTGTTTCTGTGAAGGTTTTTAGAATCGTCGTCTGACGCCCTCTTTTTCCCCCCCGTTCCTCTCTAGATTTGAAGTTCATGACTCCGATCTCATTACCCAGAAGCCTCCTGGATTTGCTGCACTGCCCTCTGGGACACTGCCACCGTTGCAGTCAGCCCATGTTTACTATTGTCTACCCAAAGCTCTTTCCCTTGAGAGAGACACCAATGGCTGGATTACATCAGGGGTAATTACAGAGAAAATTACATGCTGGTTTCAGACTGTACGCATGGGCTTCAGCTAGAAGAGAAGGCATTTGCAAAAGCAAATGCTTGAGCTTTTGTGAGTCTGATGACTATCTTCCCTACAAATGGAGAAGTGCATTATTAAGACTCAGTTATGAGGTGGATTTTCCACAAGATGCTGCTTCTATTCCAAATTGCAGCATTTCACATTGAATATTCAATTGTACGTTTTTTTTCTCACCTGGAAAACTTAAGTAGCGGAAGATGAGCTATGAGAGAGATTCTTTCTTCCTATAGAATAGGGAGAAAATCAGAAAGTGAAGTAGGAAGGAAGCATGCAAAACTTGGCATCAAGATTTCTAGAGGGGGGGGTCTCAAAACTTGGCTAGAATAGAATAGAAGAATAGAATAGAATAGAATAGAATAGAATAGAATAGAATAGAATAGGACAGGACCTTGGAAGTCTTCTAGTCCAGCCCCCTGCTTAAGCAGGAGAACCTATACCATCTCAGACAGGTGAATGTCTAGTCTCTTCTTGAAAATCTCCAGTGATGGAGCGCCCATGATTTCTGTGGCAAGCTGTTCCACTGGTTAATTGTCCTCACTGTCAGGAAGTTTCTCCTTAATTCCAGGTTGCTTCTCTCTTTGATCAGTTTTCAACCATTGTTTCTCATCCTTCCCTCTGGTGCTTTGGTGAACAACCTGGCCCCCTCTGCCTTGGGGCAGCCCCTCAGATTCTGGAACACTGCTATCATGTCTCCCCTATTTCTTCTTTTCTTTAGACTGGCCAAACCCAAGTCCCGCAGCCCTTCGTATGTTTTAGCCTTCCGGCCTTTGATCATCTTTTAAGACCTGTGGACTTGAATTCCCCAGCCAGCCTAGAGCATTGAATACACTGCATTCACTTTTCCCCCCTCAAATGTGGAATCATATTTCTATACATAGTATTGGGTGATAAAACCTATCCTGATTACGCTCCTTGAAGGGGTAACATTTTGAATCCAAAAGCACCCAGAGCCCATTGGTTCCCTATCTGCAGTATACAATATTTTCCAATAATTTCAGACACAAGTGAGATTTTAATTAAAGCAGAACTTGAGTTTATGAGTCAGGCAAAGAGGTAGTAAGGTAAAAGGAATGCCCCTTTAGATGTTTGCCTTTTGGCTCTGGTGCAAACGATTATTTGCCCAAGAATGTAAAATTATTTGTTATCCAAATAGTTATATAACTTTCTTTTCAGTTGTGTTCTTAAGATTCTGTCTCGTGCACTGTGATTGTTGGCCTTTCAATACGCACAATAGATGGCTATTTAAATTGCTGATTATTTTTAATTTGATCATTCCGGTTTTAATTTTTTCTTGGTTGCTTTTACTGATGTGATATATTTTTAAATTGCTTGTTAAAGCAGTTCAAAATCTTTCTCTCTTTTTTTTCCCCTTATTTAAGCAAACATCTTTGCATAAAAATTCATGTTGTCTTTTCCATCACCACTACGTGGGAGAAGTCACAACATAGAACGTAGATTATTTGGTAGCAAATAATGGAAGATTTGAGGGAGCATTGTACTTTTTTTTTTTTAATGTTCTTCCTTTAAGAAATTAAGAAATTTTCCAGATGTTTTCTTCCTAGGTTCAAATCTGCACTAATAATTAGCGGAACCTTTTGGTATGTTGACAGAGGGGGAAAAAAAACCTCTCGCTATTTTTGCAAACTCAAATATTATATGTACTTCGTTTTCTGAGGCTCAACCCTCGCTCCTGATTCCTTTGCTTTTTTTTAACCGTCCATAAAAGTTGTATCTTGTGTCTTAGGGCCAGCATTTTAACTTGAGACGACAACCGTTGCCTCTTGCTCTCCTTTCCATTCCTATATTTCTTTTGTGTTCCCAGGAGAACAAGAGTCAGTTTTGTGGCATATTGCTGCTCCACCCAGTGTCTGCAGACCTTTGACCTATTGAGCTGATAAATACTTAAAGGTATTCAGGAGTGGTGCCAGCTTCAAAGCAGCATTAGACTGTGGCTCCTAACCAGACTGGAATATGTGATTGTGTGTGCCAAAGCAGTGGGAGGCATTCCCCAACTGGGAACATGGAGAACCCCTTGAGGCCTGGGTTCCTATCAAATCTGGACAAAAGGCAGAAGCTCTCATGAAACCATCGTGATTGTCCAGCTTTAGAAAATGTTTTAACACCTTCCTGTTCCTCCACGGGCAGAAGATCAAGCAAGCAAACATACAATCAAAGACCCAGCTGGACACTTTTCAAAACTTGTACTTCTGATTCAAGTTGCATTTTATACTTCACTTGGGTTGCATGGGCAATATCAGTTAGTGTGTGTGTGGGTTTTTTAATGATACCTTTGCAGTCCTTGTAACTTTTTCAATTATTTCCCTGCTTGATTTCCTGTTACTGCTCTCTTGAGAAGCAGCCATTACAGGTAGCCATTTATTCATGCTAGTGAGGTTTTTTTTTTTCCCCTACTTTCCATTAAGGATCCAATACATTTTCTTTCTTCTCCCCCCCCCCCAGCTGATGTTTTGATAGTGACTTAAAGATGTACTTGCGAAACCTAACTTGATGCGGTCCGTCATCCGGTTGGGTAGGTAGAGAGAATGTTTTCAGTTATTTATTTTTTTTCATCTGTGGTTGAAGTCCTGAAGACAGCACCATTGGCAGCCACAAAAAGTAGATTCCTCCTTGGTCATTGACTCTTTGCAAAACATATTTCACCTTTTGATACTGCAGAACTAACGAGGTGTTTTAAAATGCCGGTAGATTTAGAATAAGTTAAAAAGTTGGCCTCACCTCCCTATTTAAAATATAAACAGTTTTGTGAATATTATCAGTATTTTGTTGTGAGTCTTTATGCATGTTGAACTACATCACCTTCTGGTCATGCTCATTGCCTTTGGGAGCCGTGCATGCTGGGAGTTGTAGTCCAACATAGCAGGAGAGCACTGCGTTGTAGAAGTTTTGTATTGTATGCTCTTGAGCCCCCGTTTCAGTAACTTTTATTTTTTCCCATTGGATGGTCTAAAATCAGAGAAGCCACAAAAAAGGGTTGGAACAAACTCATTTTTCGTACATTATTATGGTGGCATTTTAAGTCATGCTCAAGAAATAGCTTGCACACATTATTTCTGCTCTGGGGACTGCTGCTTAGAATCTTTGTACTTAAACAGCTCAGAAATCTGCCATTTAACACTTTGGGGGTGGTGGAAAGGGGGGGGAGCTCAACTCCTAAATGGTTTACATATTTGTTGTTGGCATCCTTATCAGCTGCAGTCGCTTGCAAGTTTGATCTGTTGAATTCTTTGTTAATAGCTAGGAATTTAAAAAGCTCAAATATTTTTTAAAAAGTGGCATGGTGTAAAGGTTAGGAACAGAAGATGAGGTGCATGGCCAGGGTTAATGAGAGAACATACATGTTTTTTGATGCCAGAAAGAAATGCCCCCTTCCCTTTATGATTTCACACACACACCCTGCAAGCTGTCTTAAAAAACAGTTCCATTAAATTCAGGTTAAAGAGCGTGTATTATGAACAATGGGGTTGGTAGAATTCTGAATAGTACAGCTACAATGAATGGTCTTTGAGATGGGGCATACCTGTGCCATGTAAAGCAATATCTAAACAACAGCTAAAGGAAAACACAAATCCTTTCACCTGAATTGTCTAAAGTACAGTAAAAATACAAGTATCTGCCTGCGCTTTGAAATGGGTACCCTTCAAAATTCAACCATCTCTGTCGGTTACAAGTCAAGTCCTTGTTATAGCTATTCCCCAGGAGTGTCTAAGAATTCTATAGCTCTCTTCAGAGGTCCTCAACATTTCTGAAGACAGGAAAAGCAGAACAGTGAGAAATTTGGCTGTCTCGCCCTTTGTAACGTTCTACTCTCCTAGGAAGAGGGCAGATTCTATGCCAGGGGTAGGCAACCTTGGCTCTTTTATGACTCTTGGGGGTTGAAGTCCACGAGTCATAAAAGAGCCAAGGTTGCCTACCCCTGTTCTAGGCATATCAAAGTCCTTAGGCAAACTTCCTCAATCCAGGTGCCCTCAAGTGGAGGAACTCAATGAGCAAAATCCCCATGTCTGAAAGATACCCAGGTTGGGGGTTTCTGAAATAGGAAACAAAGACTTGTATAATCATCCTCATTTCATCTTTCCTTTCCTTTTGGTTTTTTTTAGCAGAGTTGGTGCATAGACACCCTTGTTTCTTAACTCACAGTTCTTGCTCTCCTTTTGGGGAGGAAATGTGAGGACTAAAACTGCTGTTCCACCACTCCAGCCCTGGGACTTCATATCACCAAATGCGTAATTAGCCTAAGTAGCTATAAGGTTTCACCCACCCACCCCCATTCCATTAATCTCTGCATTCCTAATTTTAAAGCTAAAGTAGCCCCACTGTTTAGTTTGGCTGCCATCACCGCTCTCTGTAATTGCAGTCTTCCCAGAATAAAACCACGCCGATCCATCACCTGTTGTGTTTTGTGTGTGTGTGTTGAATTATTAATCCTCGTTCTTTCCTTTCTGCCTGATAGGCCACTAAAAAAAAAAAAAATAAGATGCCCAACAAGGTCAAATTTATTTAGGGAATTAATTGTAAACTTGAAATCATCTAAATTCTGTCTATCCGAAACACTGAAGCAAATTGGCAGATTTATGATTGCCTTTAATTACAGCAATACTTAATGCTAAATCATGTGCTCTGGAAGGGTGCCACAAGTAATACGGCTGTAGGAATTTTCAGCTTTGGTTCTGTCCATGTCAGTGCAAGCTACTTTTGTCCTTAGATCAATTTCTGGGCATATTCCTAACCTGTAGTTTGCCTTGTGCTTTCTGCTGGTAGCATCCGTAATGTAGGTGACGCTTGTCCATTTAAGATGTGAAGCTTCAGGGTCTGCAGTTGGATGTTTCTTATTGACCTATATCAGTGGTCCCCAACCCTTTTGGTATCAGAGATCAGTTTTGTGGAAGACAATTTTTCCATGGACCGGGGAGGGGGGGCAGGAGGAGTGCACAGCCTAGATCAGAGGTCCCCAACCTTTTGGGCACCAGGGACCGGTTACATGGAGAGGTTTTTCCGTGGACTGGAGAGGGTGTGGTTTTGTGTGCTGCCTGCATCTCGCGGATGAGCTTTGTGCGGACCGGTTGCTGGCATGCCGCGGTTCAGTACCGGTCCAGAGACCAGGGGTTGGGGACCCCTGGCCTAGATCCTTCGCATGTGCAGTTTACAGTAGGATTTGAGGTCCTATGAGAAACTAATGCCTGATGGGCTGAGGTGTGCTGGGGAGTGACTCAAATACAGGTGAAGCTTTGCTCACCTCCCAGTTCCTAACAGGCCACAGACTGGTACTGGTCCACAGCTCAGGTATTGGGGACCCCTGATCTATATGCTTTAGCTCGAATAAATAGGCAATCTAGGAAACATTCTGGTGGCACATTGCAAAAAAAAAAAATAGTAAATGATAAATTGGCTTTTTAAACCTGACACAGAGGCCTTGGACCACTTAGCATGGTTTTTGGTGTCCATAACATCTGGAGGATAGATGTGCCTAGAGAGAACTGTGCAAAAGAAGTTAGGAAACAAGCTTTTTTTGTTTCAGAACGGGAGTCTTTAATTTTGAATTTGCTAAACTTTTCCCATTTTCATTTCCAACAAATTTTAAAAAAAATTAAGTTTATCCTCCAAATCAACATTGGTCAAAGAAACAACAACAACAAACCAGGATATACAAGGAGCTTGGCGTAGCTAAGGGCGTCCAAAAAGGCAGATGCCATTTTTTACCACGCTTCTTCCTACTGATGTAGTCCTTTAAAAGCATAGAAACCTTTTTGAAATCCAGGTGATGACAAGCTCTTAAAACGTTGGTGTCTTTATGACACAAATGAAAGTGTGAGCAATGATTAATGCCAGCAGCCAGGACTTTTCAGATGTTTCATTAAAGTCATTAGAGCTTCATGCCTCCTCTGAAGTTCAAATGAAAGGCAGGAGCAGCTTAAGGGGGTTCAGATGATTCAGAGCTGCGTTTTGTCCTTCAGGCAAAATGAAGGTGCAAGACCTTGTTTTGATTTTGATTTTGTTCCACTGTGAGATTTTAGCCAAATGCAGGGCTAGCAGCAAGGGCAGAACAGGACTCTGGTGGAGCTAGGAGAGGCTTATTCAGTGGAGGATTGTAATTTGGGTCTGTGCTCGGTGGTAATAATTCCTGCATTCTTAAGTTGCTTGATCCTGTAAGATGTATCCATGACTACAGTGATAGTTGATAGATATTGAGATAGATATTGATGAGATAGCTATTAAGGAGATAGATATTGATCAGACAGAAATTGATGAGATAATAGACATGGATGGATGGTGGATAGATAGATAAATACTAAGGTAGGTAGGTAGGTAGGTAGGTAGGTAGGTAGGTAGGTAGATAGATAGATAGATAGATAGATAGATAGATAGATAGATAGATAGATAGATAGTAGAATAGTGAAATTTTAAATAAAAACAGATAAATGATATAACCGTAATAAAATTCTACAACTTGAGCATGACTGTTGAGAAGGATATTCATTTTGAAATGAGGTGACAGAATTCATCAAGATTTAATATGCACGAGGATTTGGGGATGGGGGAGAGAATCCTCCATAATTGAATAGAATTTATACCCAGGAATATAAGGTTAGGCTTGAGTATTTATAGCCCTTTTCTGAAGGTACCTTTTAAATGAAGACCTCTGAGGTCTTCTCTAGCCCTATAATTCTATGTTCTATGTTAATCGGAATTGCACGCAAGCTTTAATGTGCATGCATCTCCTCCAGTGAAAGAAACGTATTCATCAGTATTTCCCAGTAGGGGTTTCTTATTAGTTTGGTACACACTTTGTGCATGGTTTGGTTTTGCCCTAGCATGTTATTAAGCCAGCCACTGCGATTTATAAATCATGGCTGAAGCATTAGTTGTGTTGCACGAAGACAGTCCCTGTAGATCTGTTTAGGACTGGGCTATAGCAGGCTTGCCAAGGAATTAAGCTTATCCAAGGTGTTTTGGTTTGCTGTGATTGATCAGTTCTTGCGAGCTTTACTTTGAATCTCCCGAGTAGCAAATTAATTTAGTTCAGGGAATTTCATTGGAAAACAACATTTCTCAGCCTTGGAGCTGCAGAGAAGAATCGTGTGTGCTCCAGCACATTTTCCACACAAAATTGAGCAACCATCCAGCTCAATAGATTCGACTTGTTGTTCCGTGAACTGAGCAAGTTCCTTGAATCCTCCAAAGTGCACAAAATCTACAACTGCCTTATAATGAAGCACAATGAATCAACCGCATCCTTCTGTGATGACAAC